ATGTGGCAAGGGTGATCCGTGCCCTTCAGGCAGCAGGTAAGAACTTTCACGGATAGAGTTTTGTATGTGTTAGGATGCTTTTGGTTGCGAGTCAGAGTAAATCCACCTCAGGTTGGTTCACGTAGCTGAAAAACCCAGAAGCAAGGCAAACTGCGGGAGAGGGGTGATCAGGGTTCTGGCCATGCTTCTTAGTGAGTCAGGGAGTCTGTGCGTACTGGCTTCTGAGACTGGCTTCCTTGTAGGTAGGAAAATGGTTGTAGGAGTCCCAGGCCACACATTCTACCATCCCTAACAGGAGAGAGGTGCTTTTCCTCTATCATCAAATGTCCTGGGCTTCTCTCCGGTTTTTGTAGGCCACATGCTCAATTCTGCATCAATCAATGAGGCCAGGGCAAGCCATTTGATTGGTGTAGGCTTCTGTTCTTGCCAAAGAGGGATGGATTAAAATGATTGCCTTAGGCCAATCAGGGCCTGGTCCTGGAGGTCGGAAGGGGATCACATTCACACGAGCCTATTGGCTGCCACAGTTGGGGAGGGGAGGAATGGATGCCAACCGTGTCCACCACAGGTTTCTATCCCAGTAATAATCCACTGTTGTAGACAGCAGTGGTGGTTTGTCTCTCTAGCATCCATTTCCCCGCTTTGACTACAACCCTAATTTGGACTCGGGGCTTCGTTCCTTCCGCATTCTTAGACTGTGTGCTTCTGATGGAGCCCCATTTCCCATTCATGCAAGAAGCATGTGATCAAGACTTAGGTCATTCAGTGCACTTCAATCTGGCCACTGGATTGCTTCTCAGAAAAGCACGTGGCTTGATCAAAGGCAGTGAGACGCAGTGACACTTGCTGGGAAGGACGACTGGGACAGTGCCAGCTGCTCGTGTCTGCTGAACTTCACCCTCAGAGGATGTACGGTCTGCAGCTGTTGCTGCTGCCATTTGACAGTCACATGGAGAGAGCCTGAGGTTGGAGCTGATACAGAAAGACCGAGGAAGCTGCTAAAGCCATACAGCCAAGCTAATTCCTGGACGTCTCAGTTTAAGAGTCAACACATTTCCTCTTTGTTTTAAGCAAGTTGTAACAATGTCTTAAATCATTCAGTTCTTCCTGTTTCGTGGCAGTGAATGCCCGAGCAGCACACGTGGGTGGCTGGAATATTTGGAACAAATTCTACCAAGCACATTTGCCTTTTGAGACTAGTAGTACATGGACATAGTATTACATTACATCTCAGCCATGAAAGATGTGGAAGAATGCTGAATGAATATGGATGGGATTTGGTCTAGATCACAGGTAGGCACACTACAGCCCTTGGGCCAAATCTAGCCCACCACCTGTTTTCATAAAGTTTTACTGGAACACGACCGCACTTTGTCTATGGCTGTTTTGTCCTACCATGGCCGATCAAAGTTGAGTAGTTGTTTGCAAAGCTTAAAATACTTACCATTTACAGAGAAAATTTGCTGCCCCCTGGTATAGATGGTAGACTAATAAAACATTAGCAAATATTCCCCCCACCCCCAAGTTATTCCTGGGCTCCCAAATGGAAGCAACATTGAGTAGCCCTCCATCATAGACTTCTATCTGTATCATTAACCTCAGGCCTGATTATTAGCATTAAGAAAGCAAACTTTCATTGAACTGGATTTATCCCAGACAGTGAATGACAGACATCGTACACAGTAGTCCTGGCCAAAGAGTGCCTCGGAAGCCTGCAGACATAAAGAACATTTCTTTCCCCACCCCAGACCATTACCCTTCTCTCAGAGTTGGGGTGCTGAAGCTACTGGCGAATTCCTGCAGGAAGCCCAGTGACCTACTTCCATAAGGAGGCTGGATGAATGAAAACCTGGTTGGAAGATGAGACCAGTTCTTCAGTTTCATAATGGAATGTCAGCATCGTTATCTGTACATCTACCATCTGAAGCCAATGGATTCCACTGCTGCCAACAATATGGAGCACTCAGAGCTCCACTCTTAATTCTATCAAGCTCCTGACACAAGTACAATAGATGGTTAACATTGATGCAATCGCCAAGGTCACATAAGCAACCACGTTGCCAGGAGTCTCTAACCTCCATCTCTCTGCTACGTTAAGTCACCAGGAAGCAACATATCAAGATCTAAGGCTAGTCCTCAACGGAAGGCCATTGTGGAGCTGTTATTTAATATTATGGCATATGCTTTTGTGGGCAGTCTTCATGAGAAGTGGCTTCATCAAGTAGAGTACAGCATTGCCGCCAACACAGTGGCCAGAATCTGACTGATGGCTTCTAACTCAGAAATGATGCCGCGAAGAGAAGGCAGTTTAGGAATATCATTGACTGGTATTGTTATCTCAGGGGCGTCTGCTTATCCAGGAGGCTCCCCTTCTGCTCACACGAGGATCTAGCAGGCCTCCCAACTTACACAGGACTCAACGTGGGTCTGAAATGGGTCCAAGGGGCCAGTTGGGGTCCATCTGGACATCTGTGGTAGTTCTGTATTTCTTTATTGGTGAGGGAGATATTTGGGGTAACCCATCTTGAATGCTACGTAAGTGCCTTCTACTTAAGGATACACATGATAAATCTGTTTATCTGAGAATTTATCTCCAGCACCCACTTCGAATGCTGTAAAAGTCAAGAAATCCTCCAGACCCAACTGGGAGCAGAAAGGGAGTCTCATGGTTATGCCAGTGTAAACCCCCTGACACAAGAATGCCAGGGCGCCTGGGTGGCTCAGTTTGGCATCCGACTCTTGATTTTGGCTCAGGTCATGATCTCACGGTTCATGAAAAGAACCCCATGTCGCGCTCTGTGCTGCCACGCAGAGTCTGCTTGGGTCTCTCTCTCCCTCTCTCTCTAATAAAAATTTTTTAAATACCAGTAAATGACCCTCTCTCCTCTACCTAGGCAAACTTCACCTAATCCTGGGGCCAGCTCAAACCCTCTCCCCTTGGTATAAAGCCAACTCATACCGAAGCAATCCCTTCTGTCTCTAACCACATCAATTACTACAATTAATCCCCTAATACCTTGAGGCTGCTGGTGTTAGAGGGTTTGGCCTTTTGTTACAGTCATGGGAAGGATGCATTTCAATGTGCTGCTTTGTGGCCCAAACTGTTTTGTTATCTGGGCAAAAAGAGCATGGGGCAGGAATTATATTCCAAGATGAGGATACCCTCTTCTCGTCCATGGAGGGTCAGGACAAGGAGTATCTGCCTTGTTGGCCTCCCTTGAGAGAGGGTCTCTCACCAGATGAGAAGGAAAGCCAGGTGACCACAGGATTCTGGCCCGTTCTGTGACAGTCCCCCTGTCTCTGGTCAGGACAGCCACCTCCACCTGTTGCTGAATTCTTGCCTTCGGACTCAGGAGCACAGTCTCTGCTCAGAATCAGACAGACACACAGACACCATGAGACGCGGCGTACAGAGGGCTGGGACAAAAGTAAACAGAACTGGTTTGGGGAGCTTGGGAGACAGAGCTTCTCCCACTGCTTGTTGGGCCCATGGTGGCATCCACTGGAGCAGCTGTCTAAGGGTGGAACCCAAGTCAGATCCCTGCAAGGTCTGAAATGTCACACACACACGGGAGACCGGCAATCCGCGAGCAATCTTCAGTAACTCCCAACAGTGGACACTCTGAGGGAATGTTCTTGGGACCAGTCACAAATGAGAGACATCAGAGAAAATGTTATTCTTTTATTATTTCAAGGAGGTAATACATAGCCCAATCCGCCAAAGCAATAGGGAATGAGAGGCAGCAGACGGCCAGAGTTTTGAGAAGAGCCTCGTGCCGCACCTCCAGGCTCCTGTCTGCTTGCAGTCCGGGGCTGCGTACATGAAGGCCAGGTCAGCCACACGGAGTGTGCCGTGACTGTAGCAGCGGACAGATGGCCCAACTCAACGCCCCGCTGACCGAGAAAGGGTTCCCCGTGAGCAGCAGAGGCCCTGCCAGGCTGAGCACGCCGGGCGGCACTCAGCCCTGCCACAGCCGGCTGAGCAGCCAGCCTATCTAGCACTTGATTTTATCTCTGTGAGACTAGAGTGGGCAGGATGTGAATAAATCCTGAGTCAAATTAAGGTGAAAGACTTAGTAGTGTTAATACTCCAGATGAGAGAAGACAACACCGTCTCTGAGGGTGATGGGCTGGGAGTCTGATGGAAGAAAGATGGAAACACGCACAATGGCCACAGGCTGCAGGTGCGGCCCTGAGGACACGAGAAGGGTATTTCACATACATGATGGGGGGCGGGCACTGGGGCTGCTTCCTCGGACACAGAAGTGAACTAGAGGTTCATTTTCCACTCATAATTGGTTTCCTGGGTCTAAGTCACCACCCCTGTGGCTGAAGCGAGTCCCGCCCTGGGGAGAAGTGTGGCTCAGTTCTCCAGTGCGGAGGGGGAGGGACTCACAACTCAAGGAGATCTTTCTCCCCCACCCCCAGCTCCTTTCCCTTGCAAATGACTGAGGTGGAAGGTGAGAGGTAGGGCATCTCCTAGTGAAGTCCCACCATGATTTTTTTCTAGAGAATTCACTGTGATGGGACCAAAGCTCCCCCTCCCCCTCGGCACGGAATAGACTTATTTCCACTCAGGGGAGGGCACCTTCCTGGTGACCTAATGGTGGCGTGCAGGGGGGAATCGCAGCAGTGACTCATAGACACCGTTCATTTCAGTACGACTGTCCGGGCCGGAGAGCTGGCGGCGAGGGACTGGTCCTGCCCAGCATGCACCGTTCCCCAACAATCCTGGCCAGGCCAGAGCCGGGTTTAGATGCCGCACGGGCTGACAGATTTTTGGTTTGACGGAAGTGGAAAGAATTTTTTAAAAACCACGCCACTATTTTCTCCAAACCCAGGACCATCAGTTTTGTTTTGTTTGACAAGAAAAGGACAAAGGACCACAGCTCCCTAGTGGCCAAGGCTTCTGCAGCACGGAATGCAGTATGTATCGAAATGTATAAACCTGGGTCTGACCAGGGAGGTGGGTGAACATAGAGCCAGGGGCCCTGGGTCTTCTAGTCGGTGGCAGTCTCTGCTGGTGCCTCGTTGTCATGTTCCTCAAAGCCTGGGACTGGCTTCTGCAGGAAGTGCATGGTGGCCTGGATCACCTTATCTGGTCCAATATTGTACACAGGGTGAGTGGGCTGCTGCAAAGAGAACAGATGCCGATCAATCACCCCAGTGGTCCTTGCGACCGTGCACAGACTTGAAACCTTTACGTGCATTTGTAAGAATTTATCAGAAGAAGGAATCATCAGACATACACAGGGAGGTTTATCACCCCAGGCCCTGATGTTCAACAACAAGGTATTAGTAAAAGCATTTAATGCTACATAGGATACAAAGGAATATTACACAGCCGTTTAAAAACATGCTTTCAAATATTTAACGGTAAGGGCAAATGCTTATAACGTATCATGTGAGGAAAACAGTATATACAATGTTATCCCAAACTTACTTTTTGAAAATGTGTTTGTAGATGTGATTTATAGGCAGAAATTGGACATATGCCAAAATCGGTCCCATGATATTTTCTTATACTTTTGTATATATTCTAATTATTAAAACATACATGTATTTATTTACATTTGTAATCAAGGAAAAGGACCACAATGCTATGATGCAGTAAAAGCGTCAGGCCATATTGAAACTCTTTTATAGTAGTCTACTACGTCATAGAAATCCAAAAGAAACTTTAGGTCTGAGACAGGGCACAACTGGAGGCCAATATTCAGGACTCATCCACTCTGGGAGAATGAAGGAGGGGACAGAAATGCAGGAGAGGTTTTAAAACTACTTTTAAAATACTATGGGGGCGCCTGGGTGGCTCAGTTGGTTAAGCGTCCGACTTCGGCTCAGGTCGTGATCTCATGGTTCATGAGTTCGAGCCCCACGTCGGGCTCTGTGCTGACAGCTCAGAGCCTGGATCAGGTTTCAGATACTGTGTCTCCCTCTCTCTCTGCCCTTCCCTCATTCACGCTCTGTCTCTCTGTGTCTCTCAAAACTGAATAAACGTTAAAAAAAAAAAAAAAGAATACTAGGAGCCACTCTATGCCAAAACCTATAAAAGTACAGATAAACTGAATAATTCTACAGAACAATATAAATTTTCAAAAGAAATTCTTTAAAATTTGTATGAATACATTTTTTTTAAAGTTTTTATTTATTTAGTTTGGTGGGGGGAGGAGCAGAGAGAGAGGGAGAGAGAAAGAATCCCAAGTAGGCCCTGTGCTGTCAGCACAGAGTCCGATGCAGGGCTCAAACTCACAGAACCATGAGATTACGACCTGGGGCAAAATCGAGTCAGACACTTAACCAACTGAGCCGCCCCAACTTGTATGAATAAATTAAATCAGTAATAACAGTTGCTTATTCTGCTCCACCATTCCTCCCCCAAAATATCAGGCAGGCCTGGATGGTTTCTCAAGCAAGTGCTACCAAACCTACAAGAAACATAATCTCTAACTTGTATAAACTTTTTCAAAGTCTAAACAAAAGGCAGGGGTGGGGGTGGAGAAGAAGTACCCATCTAATTTTATGAGGCTGTGATATTATCCTGAAATATAAACTGGAAAGAGCAATACAATAAAACGAAAATTCAGATCAGCTTTTCTTATGAATACCATGCAAAAAAAAAAAAAATCCTAAATAAAAATACTAGTCAGGGACACCTGGGTGGCCCAGGTAAAAATACTAGTAAAATACTAGTCAGTCAGTTAAGCATCTGACTCTTGGTTTCAGCTCAGGTCATGATCTCGTGGTTTCGTGGGTTTGAGCCTCGTGTTGGGCTCTGTGTTGGTGGCGCAGAGCCTGCTTGGGATTCTCCCTCCCTCACTCTCTGTCTCTCCCCCACTTGCACTGTCTCTCAAATTAAAAAAATAAAATACCAGTCAAAAATGCTAGCAAACTGGGGCACCTGGGGGTCTCGGTTGTATGTGCAACTCATGGTTTTGGCTCAGGTCACGATCTCACAATTTGTGAGTTTGAGCCCTACATCGGGCTCTGTGCTAGCAGTGCAGAGCCTGTTTGGGATCCTCTCTCTCCCTTTCTCTCTGCCCCCCCCCCCAAATAAATAAACTTAAAAAAATACTAGCAAACTGAATCCAGCAATGTATTAAACACACACAATCACGCTGTCCTCTGACCATAAGAAGGGCTGATCCTAGGAATGTAATGTTACCATCAGAACATTTATTAACAGGGGCGCCTGGGTGGCGCAGTCGGTTAAGCGTCCGACTTCAGCCAGGTCACGATCTCGCGGTCCGTGAGTTCGAGCCCCACGTCGGGCTCTGGGCTGATGGCTCAGAGCCTGGAGCCTGTTTCCAATTCTGTGTCTCCCTCTCTCTCTGCCCCTCCCCCGTTCATGCTCTGTCTCTCTCTGTCCCAAAAATAAACGTTGAAAAAAAAAATTAAAAAAAAAAAAGAACATTTATTAACAAAATATAGCACAGTCAAGGAGAAAAACCAGATGTAGAAAAAGCCCTCAGTAAAATTTAATATTAGATTATGATTGGAACAAACAAACAAGAAACAACCTGGCAAACCAGGAAGAGAGGGTTAAGTAACATCCTTAACTTGATAGGAGGTATTTATCAGAACCCTGCAGTAAGGATCCTACGTAATGCTGAAATTATAGACACCTTCCCATTACAACCAGAAGCAAGACAGGAGCGCCCCCCCCCCATGACCATCTCTAGTCAACACTCTGTGGGGGTCTTAGCCAACATCCCAAGGCAGAAAAAGAAATAAAATTCTTAAGAATCAGAAAGAAAAAGGCAAAACTGTCCTTATTTGAAAATAACATCACATGCTAAATAAAAAAAATCCAAGAGATTCTACAAACTATTACAACTATTAAGTTCAGCAAGGTGGCTGCATACAATTAAAATATAAATATCATTTCTGTACATTAGTAACAACCAGTCACAAATATAAAAAAATATTCCAGTCACAATAGACACAAAAAGTATAAATTTCCTAGACATAAGTCTAACAAAAGATGTGTTAGTCTTTTATGGAGAAAATGATGTAAGACCACTAAAGGACATGAAAAATAATCTGAAAAATCATGTTCACAAATGGAAAGCCTTAATATTGAAATGAAGTCTGTTCTCTCCCATTAATCTTAAATCTAATGCGATTCCCATAAAAATTCCATTATAGTTTGGTTTTTTTTGTGGAACTCGATAAGCTGATCCTAAAATTCATAGAAAAAAGCAAAAAGAAAGAACAGCAAGGCAATTTTGAAGAAAAAGAACAAGGGGATGGGACCTGCCTACCTGCATTTACAATTTGCTTAAGAGAGTACAGACAGGCAAACAGACCAGAGGAACAGAACAGAGTCACCTCATATACAGAAACTCGAGTACGTGACAGACATGTGACACACATCAGTAGGAAAGTTGTAAACTTCCGTAAGTGGTATTGGTCAATTGGTCATCTACATGGAAAAAATATAAAATTATATCCAACCCTCACCACAGACAAAAATCAATTCCAAGAGAATTAAAAATCCAGATGGGAAGAGCAAAACTTTAAATGGTTTGGAAGAAAATATACGTATGACCTCAGTGTAGGGGAAGATTTTTTTTTTCTAATGTTTTATTTTTGAGGGGACAGAGCATGAGCGGGGGAGGGGCAGAGAGAGAGGGAGACAGAATCGGAAGCAGGCTCCAGGCTCCGAGCTGTCAGCACAGAGCCCAACACAGGGCTCGAACTCACAAACCATGATGTCATGACCTGAAGTTGGATGCTTAACCGACTGAGCAACCCAGGTGCCCTGGGAAAGATTTCTTTAAAAAAAATTTTTTTTAATGTTTATTCCTTTTTGAGAGACAGAGAGACAGAGTGTGAGTGGGGCAGGGGCAGAGAGAGAGGAAAACACAGAATCCAAAGCAGGCTCCAGGCTCTGAGCTGTCAGCATAGAGCCCAACGTGGGGCTCAAACCCATGAACTATAAGGTCATAACCTGAGCTGAAGTCAGATGCTTAACCAACTGAGCCATCCAGGCACCCCCGGGAAAGATTTCTTAAGTACCCCTCCACCCTCAAAAACCAAAAAGGCAGTAAAACTGTTCATTATAAAATTAAAAATCTTCTATTCAACAACCAAAAAACCCATTAAAAGTGAAAAGACAAGTCACGAACTGGAAGAGATTTACTACACACATCACTGACATAGGATTAGTATTGAGAACACACAGAGAACGCCTTCAAATGTGTAAGAAAAGGGCAAACAATTAAAATTACAAATCAGCAAGCAAGCAAGCAGCTGGCAGGCAATTCACAGAAGACATAACACAAATGGTCAACGAACATTTGAGAAGATGCTCAACCTTACTACGAGTGAGGGAAATGTAAAAATAAAACTGAGATACCATTTCCCATCTATCAAATGGCAGAGAGGAAAAGTTGGACCACAGAGCAACTCATCTGAATACTGTGTGAGTGTAAAACGACACAAGCCACATGGGCAGTGGTGTGTGTGTGGGGGGGTGTTGTCTATGAAGATGAAGGTGTGTGTGCTCTTCAACCCAGCAAGTCTCTCCTAGAGAAACTAACACAAGAATGTGCACTGTGACTCCGTTTGCAATAGCACAAACCGAAACCATCTCAATGTTCGCCAACAGGAGAAGAAAAATCAGTTGGGGTACATTTATACAAGGGAATACCATATAGTTGTTAAAATGTTCAAGTAGAGCCACATACGTGAACGCGGGTAAACCTCAAAAGTGTAACGGTCAGCAAGAACAGTAATGCACAATAAGTGATCCAATAGCTACTGTCCTAAAAGGCATGAAAACATTCGCTGTCTATATTGTTTATGGATACATACATATGTAGTGATAGCACAAAAACTTATCTGCAGGCATGCCAAATGTCAAACTTAGGACAAGGTGATGCTGGGGATGGAAGGAGACTGACAAATGGAAAAGGGGTGCATGGGAGGCGAATATGGAAAAATGTTAAGACTTGAAAAAGCAGAGTGGTTGCAACTCCGATTTTGTCTGGTTATCAGTGAGGCTGAGCATCTTTTTATCCATACTGGCCATATGTGTTCCTTCTGTTGGAACTATTCTGTGACAGTCTGCACGGGCCACGTGATTTGATGGCCGTGGACGGTCTTAGTTGGATTCATGTCACAGGCTCACGTCTAGGCTCAGGGGTGTTTCCCGCGGCCAGGCTGGTCTAGGGCTGGATGTGGGGCTGAACATCCTGCCCGCAAGGGGCTGACAGCTCTGGGAGGCAGCAGACAAAACCAAGTTAAACACATGCTACAAACTGCAACTGAGTGCCACGAGGGGCACAAACAAGGCGCAGTGGTGGAGCACTGTAGGGAGGCCTCCTTCACAGAGGTGGTCTGGGAATCTTCTCTGGAGAGACGGCACGTCACTGTAGGCTCCAGAAGACAGCCAGCCATGCAGTGAGGACTGTGTGGCTGCAGATTCCAGAAACCTACTGCCTCTTAGTACATTTCCTCAATGGAACTATGAATAGAGGTCTGGGTCTGACGCAGGGATAAAGGCACAGAACCTCTGTCTCAGACTGGATGCCCCCACCTGGAACCCTGAGTTTGCCTTAAGATAGTTCCCTCCTGGGTCCCAGGCTCCCTCCAGGGCGGCTGCCAATGGAGGGAGGGTGGGGGCTGCGTGCTCACAGACCTGCCCACAGGAGGCACATGGATAGTTGTGCAGGACACGGGTGGCTGCTCCCCTCTCTTGGTATGCCCCCATCCTGGGGACCCTGTGGAGAAGCGCCATCAAGCCCCCCACCCGGCCTTACCAGAGCATTTTCGGGCACACCCAGGACCACATCGTGCAACATGGCTCCACTGCCGAAGTGCTGGGCTATGGACAGGCCGCTCAGGCAGTAGCAGGTGTGGTAGAAGTCCCGAGACCTACAAAGACAAGGTGGCTCTGAGCAGGGACTCCTCCACTCCCACAAATCCCCCCAGGCACAGCCTCCAACAGGAGACTCAGGCCTGGAGCACACCCCCACATCCCAGGCCCAGGTCAAGCCGTGGCATTTCTGAGCCCCATTCTTCAGCCCTGCACCCTTGTAGTCTTGTAGACTTGTAGTCGGTCCCCCCAGGGTCTCTTCCAGCTGTCTTCCAGAAAGGACTCTCCAGGGTAGTGCTGGTGCTAAATTAATGTATTTCTCAAAAAAAAAAAAAAAAAAATCCTACCAAAATGCCTAGAAATGAGCCAAATTCTCCCTGACAAACTGCTAGGGACCAGCCTTCAGCTGGGCCTTCCCCTGGATGCTGACAGTCACAGGGTGTGTGCTGGCCCAGTAGCAAAGGGAACAGGACTTATCTGATTTCCCTTTTCTTTTTACTGTGGCGCCTCAAGGTATTTAATCTATGCTGCAATAGTTGTGATTATAATTTCTGTTTATGACACTCAAGGGTTTTAAAGTCCTATATCCTGTTCTATTTAAATCAGTTTCGTTTAAAAAAAAAAAAAAAAGGCAAGAAAAGCCACCAACCTGGCAATCTATGTACCTACCCAGAGAGGGGGCTACATGGAAGCTGGGGGAAAAGATGGGCACTGGGGGGTGCCAGTATGGCACTGGAAGGGGTGCTCCCACTGGGAGGCTTCTTCCCACAACACACTAGCACCAAGCAGCTGGATGGAAAGGGAGCCCCCTCCCCCCTGCCCCCAGGCTTTTAAAGGTCAGCGGCTGTCACCCTCTGGTTCTGGGGAGGCTTGAGTGGCACACCATCTCTCCCCTCCCTGCCCCTCCCTCTCCCAAGAGAAGGCACTCACTTGCCAGGCTTATCCAGAAGCCCCCCGGCGGGGCACTGACAGCACATTAGAATGTACTCCTGCAGGGCCTGCTGATGAAACATCCAGTGGCTCATGCTGAGGGCAGGGTCGCCTGCAGAAAGGCATAGTGTCAGGGCAGGCCAACGCCCGGTGGGCATCCAGCACGGTATGAATGACGTCTTTGTATTTTATTACCCACTGGGGACAGTTAAGGTTTCCCTCTATTATTCCTGGACTAATTTTGAAAATTACATTCTTGGGACACTTGATATCTTCACCCACGTCCCATGATATGTCCCTTCTCCCGACCTTTGACTTGAGTCAAAGAGCAGCAGTGCAGAACGATACCTTGGGGTATACGCCCTTACTGTGAATGCCTGTCCTAAACCACATCACGGACAGGCGTGGGCCAGCTGGCTATCTCTGCCTTCCAGATCCACCCTCTCACTGCTCCTGACTCAGTCCACAACTCCCTCCTCTGGGCCTCTTAAGACATTTCCGCTAGCACATCCCTGACTCTAACTGGCTAAGAGAACTCTCAACAGGGGTGATGTCTGTTCCTTCTACTTTTCTAAACCTCAACTTAATGTATCTCCAAAGGGCATCCTCCAACTCCTCTCTTGGCCTCAAAAACTGTTCCTAAGAAGGATTACTAGGAACCGCCAGGATTTCTGCATCATGTAATAGGGTAGGGCACCTGAGTGGATCAGTTAAGTGTCTGACTCTAGATTTCGGCTCAGATCATGATCTCACAGCTTGTGAGTTCAAGCCCTGAGTCGGGCTCTACACTAACAGCAGGGAGCCTGCTTGGGATTCTCTCCCTCTCCCTTTCTACCCCTCCCCTGCTTGTGCTTTCTCTCAAAATAAGTAAATAAACTTAAAAAAAATATGGCAGCAGGAGCAGAAACTGGCAGTTCTGGTAATAATGCTCATGTATGAACAAGCAACTGGCCTTCTTCATTCTGAAGCTGAATCAGTATGGTTGGAGAATTCCGTGGGCCGCATAGTTATCAAATGCAGATGACAGAGACTGCCAACAGATGGATGCTTCCAGAAGCATTTACATGGGAATTTTTTTTTTTTTTTTAAATATACACATGCATTAAGTCCTTGGTCAATTTTATACTTGGATACTTGGGCTACTACAAAGATAGCAAGTAATCTGTAAATAGCAATTAAAAGCTAATTTTTCCTTCTTCCAGTCTGTCTCTGTGCATTTTTCTATATAGTTATTATAATTTTATATTTTGCATTCTCCATTTAACACTATAGGCATACATTTTTCTATACTGTTACCATACTGTTGATTTTTCCTTTGTAATTTCTTCTTTAAAGAAGCAAATTTAATAGCTACTGGGATTTGAGGGGGGTAATGATGAAAATTCTACAATTGATTATGGTCATGGCTGCACAACTCTGATTACACTAAACACCACTGAGTTGTATATTTTAAGTGAGTGAATTGTATGGTATGTGAATTCTATCTCAAGAAAGCTGTTACTTTTTCTTTAAAAAGCAAATTTACTAAACTTTAGGGTCACTGCATTAAACATCTGTACAAAATATCCTTTTATTCTATATCCTGTAGGAAATAAAAGACTATTATAAGGTAAGTGCCAACCTGTCACTAAAAGCAGAATCTGAAAAGAAATTGCTATGTTTATTATCAGACAGATTACAGAGTGGGTCGGTTGCCTGCTACCTTATGGAAATCTACAAGCTCCGAGTCCACAAACTCCACCAGGAGCTTCCAGGGGTCCTGAATCTGCACAGCAGCTCACACAACCAGAGACGAAGGCAGGCGTGATGACGGGTGCTGCTTGTGCACCACAATCGGCCTTTTAGTCCTTTATACCTCTCCCTTCAATTACAAATCCCCATTATTATGTCATTTTGCTTTTCAAAGATTCCTTTTATCTAAGAAATCAAAAGTTTTCCCAAACAGTAACTGACAGGTTCAGCCACATGCAGCTCAATTTCACAGGTGGACAAATCCAGGCGTGGAGTATGTCCCAAGGAACACACAAGCAACGAGTAACCATCAATCTAAACCCAAACTCACGGGCCTGCTGCTTTCTTACTGCTCCACAGAAACCAAATAACTCACTAATTTAGTCAGCATTGAATATTTTTAAGATCTTAGTAATTAATGGGGCGCCTGGGTGGCGCAGTCGGTTAAGCGTCCGACTTCAGCCAGGTCACGATCTCGCGGTCCGTGAGTTTGAGCCCCGCGTCGGGCTCTGGGCTGATGGCTCGGAGCCTGGAGCCTGTTTCCGATTCTGTGTCTCCCTCTCTCTCTGCCCCTCCCCCGTTCATGCTCTGTCTCTCTCTGTCCCAAAAATAAATAAACGCTGAAAAAAAAAAATTAAAAAAAAAAAAAAAAGATCTTAGTAATTCATTCTTCGGGGCGCCTGGGTGGCTCAGTCGGTTGAGCGGCCGACTTCAGCTCAGATCATGATCTTGCTGTCCGTGAGTTCGAGCCCCGCGTCGGGCTCTGTGCTGACCGCTCAGAGCCTGGAGCCTGTTTCAGATTCTGTGTCTCCCTCTCTCTCTGACCCTCCCCCATTCATGCTCTGTCTCTCTCTGTCTCAAAAATAAACAAACATTAAAAAAAAATTAAAAAAAAATAATTTGTTCTTCTACTCAACTGCTGTCTTCTATACACATAAGGCAGCCACCTGCATGGAACCACTAACGGCCACTTGCTCAGTGAGGTCGTGTGTCGGTCCTTTGTTATCTCTTTAGCCAGCAACGTGATCATCACCTTTACAAAATCTATTTGGTCATTTACTAAGATAAAAGCAGTAATGCACATGGTTAACAACAGCAACAAAAAAGGCAGAGTGTAGTACAGAAGGAAAAACAATTCAACACGTATGTCTCCCTCGCCTTCATCTCCCACCCTCCTCCCAAAGGTGCCCATTTCTAAAGGGGTTTTGCTCGCTTCCAGGAAAAGCTGTGGAGAGGTCGGTCCGTGTGCACAGAGACCACTCTAGGCCTGGCCCTTTACACTTTATGTTGTGTCCTGGAGAGTTTTCCAATATTAGCTCATTGCATCTAACCACGGGATGGGGAGATCATAATTTATTCAACTATTAAACTTTTGATGAGCATTTGGTTGTTTGCCATTAAAACTCCACTTCAACACACATCCTTTGCTAATATCTCTGCAGGTAAATTCCCGAAAGTGTACTTGCTGGGTTTAAGTAATTTAGACAAATCTCCAAACTACCCTCCAAAAAAACTGATACAGCTATTTACACCCACACTGACAGTACAAAAGTGCCTGTTTTTCCACACTCTCCCCAACATCGGGTACCGCGTTTTCTCCTCTCTGCCAACGTGACAGTAAAAACGACCAGTGCCCCACTGATTCTATTCACATTTCTTTCACTGCCATCTTTTCGTTTCATGCATGCCGCCTGTGCTGGTTAGAAGCAAGGCTCTGACGGAGGCGTAGGTGGCGATCGGGCATTATAAGGCAAGTTGCTCACCCTTGCTGGTCTTTGTTTCCTCATCTGTAAGATGGGGATAACAACAGCACCTATCACAGCATTGCTCAGAGGATCAAATGAGAAAACACCCGTGGAGGACTCCGTTCAGTCCCTGGCTGAGGCTGAGCGCTTGGCAAGCCTCAGCGGCCGGGAGGAGCGGTGGTCGTAGAGGGGGTAACACAAGTAGTAGCTCTTTCCTGCCCGTCCGGAATCTGCCCGTTCAGATCCTCTGCCTGGTTTTCAGTGGGTCTGTTCATCTGTTTCTTAGTGATTTAGGAGCCTCTCAACTTAAAGAAATTTAGCCCTTTGTCATTTGTCACAAATAATTTGTCCTACCTTGCTACTTGTTTTGTTTATAGAATTTCTCTTCTTTTATAAAAGAATTTTATCTTTCTTTTTCTTTATGCAAATTAATTGTAGAAAATCAGAAAATACACATAAAAAAAGAAAGAAATATTGCGTGGCGCCTCACAGTCCCGGTGCCTTCTCGTAATTTTTTGGAGTCAACTCTTCGCTAAAAATGGAATTATATACAGACTGCTTTGAAACCTTTGATCACAGTGTATTACGAAAATCTTCGCACACATCGTCTCCTTGCGACTCCCAACGTCAGTATTCTGCCCACCACTCAAGACACTGCCCTTCCCTTCCCACTGTTGCTGAGAAGTGGGTGACCTTCAAGCCCAACACAGGCCTTCTCCTGGGCCCTGACAAAAGCTGCAAGGTCCACGATTCACAGGCAGTGCTTTCCACAGACAAAGCTCTGAATATCATTTCCTCCAGGACCTGTGCTACAATAAACAGAATGTCAGTTGGGGCCCCTCTGAAGATGCTGGCAGGGAGCACTCTTCTCACAGCTCTCCTGGATTTTCCTGGCATCTCATCCCTGCCAGGGACAGGTTTGTGAAAGGCTGACCATTTTACCAAGGGCTTGACCTCACTAGTTTCAAATAAAGAAATCACTAAAACCCTAAGTTATTTTTGCTTTGAAAACACTGAAGTTTCAGGGAATTCTTGACCTCCCAATCATAGTGGTCAAGCCAGAGACCGTGCAGGCTCCAGAGTCAGGGGGATGATCTATCCTAACGCCCTGAGACCCTAAGCCCAGGGGCCCAAGGCAAGGAATCTCAGGACAGACTGAGACCGGCAGAATGGGAAGCCAAGGGGGCGCCTGGGTGGCTCAGTTGGTTAAGGATCCGACTTTGGCTCAGGCTCAGGACATGATCTCACGGTTCATGGGTTCGAGCCCTCATCGGGCTCTCTGCTATTAGTGCAGAGCCTGCTTCGTATCCTCTGTCTCCCTCTCTCTCTGCCCCTCTCCCACTCATGCTCTCTCAAAAATAAACTAAACATTAAAAAAAAAAAAAAAAGAAAGAATGGGAGGCACCTGGGTGGCTCATTCCATTAAGTGTCTGGCTTTAGCTTGGGTCATGATCTCCCAGCTCATGAGTTCGAGCCCTGCACTGGGCTCTGTGCTGACAGCTCAGAGCCTGGAGCCTGCTTTGGGTTCTGTGTCTCCCTCTCTCTCTGTTCCTCCCGTGCTCACACTGTCTCTCTCTCTCTCAGAAATAAAGATTGCAATGTCTCTCTCTTTCTCCCAAAAATAAAGATTAAAAAAGTAAAAAATAAATTAAAAAAAGAAAGAATGGGAAGACAGGGCCGAGACTGCGTTTACTTCAATTCAGCATCCAAAGTGGCCACAACTCAAATGAAACAAAGAGACTAAAGAAAGGCGCTCAGAAAGAACAGCCAAAGAAGGAAGAAAAGCATGGGTCAGGGGGCCAGACAATAGGAAAGAATCTCATCTTCCACATTTGAGCAATTAATTACCCAATTATTAAGTCCAAAGAAAACCTTCCCTCTGGGCCAAGGGGTCTCACTCCAAGAGCACATCAGCACCCAGCGGACAGCCATGACTTCCCCTCCCCCCACCAGTTTCCTCAGAGACACGCTGCTCTCACATAAAATAAATAAGAAAGATGGTTCAGGAGTCAGCTGGCGACCTGAGATTTCACATGATCAAATAAAGGAAGGCTCCCCGAAGTTGTGCTTGCTGTCTAACTGTTTTTTTTTGTTTGCCCGGATTCATAGACGAACGGTCCCAGGTCTCTCCACTCCAGTGGTATGGGTGGAACAGACTTGCATTTAGGATTCTTCAATGAATTTAAAATACAACAGTGCTCACGGCAGCAACTACAAAGCCAGTCAGACCTGGTGGATCTTTTCTCCTGGGGTTCTGCCTCTCTGCCCCTTTGTGCCATCGCCTTCTCAGTCACTGTTGTGACCGCGACGCACACAGTGTGGGTTTTCAGTTCCGATATGACCGATACGGGACGCTGCATTGGAAACTGTGGCTTCACACCCGGCTGAGGTGGCAGTCACCCTGGGGCCCGGACACGCACCTACCTCCTCCTAGCCACAGACAGTTTGCAGCAGTAACTGTGACTCAACTAAACCACTGGAATTAAAGCCTAGTCTGCATGTACTTGCAGGAGACATGGCGGGGGGGGGGGGGGGGTGCGGTTCACACACAGGGCACTCAAAATCCAGGACAGACAGACACTCTGGCTTCCTGACTTGGGTTAGCAGCCAGGGGAAGTCACCCAGCCCCTGCCAGCAGCTCCCCGGGCTCACCTTGAGCATGCAGTGCGCGGTGCAGCAGGGGCAGCAGCCCCGCCTGCCAGAAGGAGTAGCAGCCATCCACCAGCTTGTTGCAGCGGCCCTGAAATCCACCTTCGAACCGCATCTGCCGGCTTGTCACCCATTGCTGAGAATGAGACAGAGAAGGGAAAGGCGGGTGGAGGCCAAGTTCCCATCTCTGGGCTTCTTGGCACTGGAATTCTAGTCCTGGGGCTGTTCCTTCCTTCCCCTCACTGCCGCGGATGCGGACTGGACCATCTAAGCTGGACTCTTGGCAGGGCGGCCAGTACTGATCTCTGCTTCGTGCCCAATGGACAACTAACCACCTTTTCCCGGGTTTCAAATGGGTTCTAATGCTGACAGAATAAAGACATCAAGTTGGCATATAAGGAGACCTGCAAATGTCTCTCAATAAACAAGGCTTAACGAGGAAATTGAAGGCAAGTGGCTCATTTCTAACCACTTTCCCTTCTCAGGGATGTTTATTAAAAGCAGATAAATGGGGGCGCCTGGGTGGCGCAGTCGGGTTGAGCTGGCCCTGCCTCAGCCAGGTCAACATCTCTGTCCTGGAGTTTCCAGCCCGTCAAGATCATGGTCCTGGGGCGGCCGATCGGCTCCTGGAGCTGATCTGGAGCTGGCTGCTTTCGATTCTGTGCTCTCCTCTGCCTCCCCTGCCCCTGTGCTCTGTCTTCTCTCTGTCCCAAAAAAAAAAAAAAACGTTGAAAAAAAAAATTAAAAAAAAAAAAAAAAGCAGATAAATGGAATTGTGTGCTGTGTCTCACTGGATGATCTCAAACTGTTCCTGACTTTGACTTGGCACCTGAAGAAATTCATCCAAGGGTTTCTTATGCAAAGGCTTGCATGGAGCTGGCTAGGGCATTATCCCGCCCCAGCCTGTGGCCTTCTGTCAGCTTCTAGCCTCCTGAGTCCCAGGGGAAACCTGGTTGGCTAACAGAAGACAATCTTTTACTCTGAACTTGTAAGATGGTTCTTGATGTCACTCAGCGGTCACACATGATGCTGCTGCCCATCCCCAGCCTTATTCCAAGTTTCTCAAACACACCTGCTCCAAAGATCAAGATAGCCAGGGTTTCTGTCCTCCAGAAGCAGAGAACCACTGGCTTAGCAGATTGAATCTCCATTTCCCTCCCAGGCATCAGACACACAGCCACAGGCTTTCTTCACAACGGAAAGGTGCAGTAGGATGTCTCCCTCCCACCCCTAGGTTCTTACTTGACTGAGTTCCGAAAGAGCTACCGAGGACACCCCTTTTGGAAGGGAGGGATGTCTGGTCACCAATGTGGAGTTTGATTATATCCTGTTTCAAGGCCATACCACCCATAAAGTCAAATCCAATTCTTGAAAGACATAAAAAAAACTACTGCAGGGTGTAGGCACTAATAAAGATACCAGTGAGCTTAAATGAGCCAGTGCTTTAGGGATGATGCCATTAATGAAAAGCGTGAAGCATCACTGCAAGAAATAGGTACTACAGTGGGGGAGTCCATTCCTCATTTTCACTTACACCACAGACTAAGGAGTTCTTTTTTAATATTTTTTTAATATTTTATTTGATGTTATTTATTTACGTTTTATTGATTGATTGAGAGAGAGAGACACACACACACAGCACAAGTCGGGGAGGGTCAGAGGAAGACACAGAATCCAAAGCAGGCTTCAGGCTCTGAGCTGTCACACTGGAGTTTGATGTGGGGCTCTAACTAATGAAAGCAGAGATCGTCAAGGACCTGAGCCGTCAAAGTTGCATGCTCAACCGACTGAGCCACCCAGGTGCCCCAAAGGTTTTTGGTTTTTGTTTTTTTGCCCAGACTAAGAGTTTTTAAGCTGGACTACATAATTTTTTCCAGTGTCTAAGCCCATGGGTTTACTCTGTTTCCTTCGGCCATATGAATTCATAAAATCCTTCAGATATGGGTCCTAGTTCTCTCAAAGCAAAAGGAGGGGACGGAGTGGTTTGGGTAAGAAGGACACTGGCATTTATTGAGCACCTACTATATGTTATCTCCTTTAACCTTCAGAGTCCAGAGTTCTAACCCCTCCTTTAACCTTCAAAGAACTGTTATCTCTACCTTACAGAGGACAAAGGAAATTGAAGTTAAAACGGACAAATTTCCTAAGGTCGCGTGGAAGTGGGAGAGACAAGGCTCAAATCTAGAGTGTTGCCATTGTAACCGAGCCTTCTGCTGGTTATATTGCTTATTTCTTCCCAGGAAATGGGGCTTTTCAATTTCATGCCTTATTGGTAATCAGACTCTTAAATGTCTAGCTGGCCATCTCAGCATGAACCTTCAAGGAAAGTACGCTATAGGAGGCATCCTGCGGATGAGGACAAAATACTACTGGTCGTATATCCGTAGAGTCTAACAGAAACTTTCTTGGAAGCTCATGATGGGTCTCATGACAGTTCCTATGTTGAGCAGCTGACATCTGAGCTTGGGGAGAGGAGATGAATGTCCACTGCAGCTGGTTTGCTTTGAGGTCATGGTTGGGAGTAAATGCTTCCCAAAAGACGTCTCGGTGGCACTGCATGCGTGTATGTTTGTACACTAGGCCTCTGATGATAATTTAAGAATTATCTAGTGAATCAGAATGCAGTCAGCTTTCCTTCTCGATATCTATCAGGAGCTTAAAGTCCAGACATAAATGCCTAAGGCTACCTGCTCGATGCAACCACTGTGCTCTGCCCAGCTCATTTGAATGTAGTTACTAAATGTTCACATATTGCAGCTGGTAATAACAGCTTGGCTTCAAAAGGCCTGAGAGCACTTCTCATGATTTTTTCTCTTAGCAGATTCCTTCTAAGATACATGATGACCTCCAAATTTAAGAGACTGAAGCTACAGTCTTGGAAGCAGGAGGCAGGTACTATGCCTCATTGCAGATGTTTGAGGGACTCAGGAAGACTGTGGAGCTGGCCTAATATACTATAGAAAGTTCAGATCAGGAAAGATGGAAAGGCAGGAAGAAAGGAGCCAAGACCCAGGCAGACGCCCACTCCTCCCACTTTCTCCGACCAGTGCTGAGCGCCCCAGCAATTACGTTGAAAAGCTTCATTACGGGTCATTCAGTTCGTGGGCTCAGAGCAGGAACTCTGTTGGTCCTTCCCACAGCCAAACAGTCCCAAAGCACTGTGAGTCTGACCAGTCACATCACCAGCAGCCTGGGGCCTGAGAAGAAGAGGAGTCAACAGACACTTACCAATAGGCTCTTCAAGTTCAAGGAGCGTTCCTTTTTGAGGATGACCAGTGCGGCCAGGCCGCAGAAAGTGTAGCCACCGTGCGCTTCCATCCCTGGAACCCCACCAATTCCACCTTCCCAATTCTGACACCTGGGAGGAGATGGAGAAGAGCAGGTTGAGTGGTAGGTGTCAACCAATGAGTGGCCAGGTACAGTGGGTGGGCACAAGTGCAGAACCACCCAGGTTGGCAAAGAATGAGTTTATTCAGATAATGACATGAACCATCACAACTATGAATGGAAAGATGCCAGCTAATTAACTTCTGGAAATGCCTTTTCCTCCAAAAAAAAAGGGGGGGGGGACTCAGAGAAACAGTCTACTTATGCACAGTACCTCAAATCTTTTAGGAAAAAAGTAATAAAATCATACATACAGTATGACAACCACAGGTTAGAATAAAAATGAAAAATAATTGCTATTTAGGGCAGGTCTATTGCTGGTATTTTTTCTCTTTATTCTTCCGTATTTTCAAAAGCTTGCTATAATAAACATATAAAACTTTATTACTATCGAAGTAAACTTATTTTTTAAATTATAACCTCCTATATATTCAAATTACTCATTTACTATTATAACAATTATTATTTTGGGGGTTAGACTATATATTAATAGTGTATTCTCTAGTCATAAAAACACACCTCATCTTGCGACCAGCAATATAGGGTCATTTCTAGGAATTCATCCTAGGAAATAAGTTAAAATGTGTTCAAAGATAAGATTATAATATAACAGTGAAATATGAGAAATAACTCAGGAACTCAACAGTAAGGGACTGGTTATATAAATTATGGCCTATCTGTACTATGGAAAACTACACATTTAAAATGATGCTATGGGGGCGCCTGGGTGGCTCGGTTGGTTAAGCGCCCTACTTTGGCTCAGGTCATGATCTCACGGTTCATGGGTTCGAGCCCCACATCAGGCTCTGTGCTGACAGTTCAGAGCCTGGAGCCTGCTTCAGATTCTATGTCTCCCTCTCTCTCTCTCTGCCCCTCCCACACTTGCACTCTGTCTCTGTCTCAAAAATAAATAAAAAACATTAAAGTAAAATAAATGAAATAAAATAATGCTATGAAGGATATTTAAAGATGTTCCAAATCAAAAAAAAGTTACAAAATGGTAAGGTACTGTATAATTTTCCCGGAATTCTAGAAAGACATACACCAAAAGAGTGGTTGATGGTGGATTACAAGTGGCTTAGATTTTCTTCTTTTTGCTCATCTTTAGTAAATATGCTTTTCTGTGTAATAAAGACATTTTTTCTTAGTATATACTCATATGACAGTGTAGGACTTTACTTCTGATGACCTCCGAATATGTACACACTCTAAGGCGTGTCTGCCTCACAATCCCAACCGCGGTATAGGTGCACAGGTGGATGGGCACATGATCCAAGAGCCGGCAGAACCTCCGGATGGCAGAGAACACAAGCAATGATACCGCCTGTCTTTCAGGCACCTCTCCCTGGAGGCCTTGCATCTTGGGAACTCACAGGCCTTTTTCAGAGCAGTCCGCAGGCCCAGGGACATCACAGAGCAGGGCGCCAAGTCAAAAACTGGCTACCACCCCCTGTACAGATTCTTTAGCACCTCCATCCCGTGACCCTGCTGCTGCCTAAGTGGCGAGTTTTCCTTCCAACACATTTGGCTATGTGGAGCAGAGGAACAGTCAAGTTTGAAAAGTCTGATGGGCACCTCTTAACATTTTCCTTTTTCTTAACTTTTCTGAACTTACCTTAAAAAAATTTTTTTTTAATAAAAAAAAACCAAACAGATAGTGTTAACAAGTAAATAATGAAAAGTAAATCTCCTGCCCAAGCTGGCTTCCTAGTCCCTCTCACCAGCAGTGACCACTGTCAGTTTGTCTCCTCCTCTCTCTCTCTCTCTCTCTCCACACACACACACACACACACACACACACGCACACACGCACACACGCGTGATTTACATTCTGCTTTCCCTCCCTTTTATACGTGGGAGCAATTTTAATAATTGTAAATTAGTAATTTTAGTAAAATTCTTTGGGAATGTCTTCTAGCTAACCCTAACAGACTGAGCACAAGCCCAATAAAATGAAAAGAATTTAAAAAGGGATAAACCCACAAGGGCAAAGAGCATAGGAGAAGATATGAATACAGACAGGAAATAACAAAATTTCGAAAGCCAGAAAAGGGGAAAGATAAGAACTAACGGACTTAACAGATTAGAGAAACCTAAACCAGCCCGGGGATAGGAGGCAACAGAAAGCAAGACGACATGCTCCAGTGCAAGGCCCAGGAACTAGAGGCACCACGATGCCTCAAGAAGTGGGATGAGTTGGAAACAAGTTAATTGGTTGCATATGTATATAGGAATCAATGAGACCTCTGGGTACGCAGCAGAGGACAGGAAGTTTCAGGAGTTTAATCAAGAGGATCTGAACTCCAGGATGTCCAGCACAGCAGAGCAGGAAGGAGGCACCACACTGAGCAGGGGCTTAAGTGAGAATCTATAATCTGAGCACAAACACCCCCTACCCCTTTTCCTCCTACTAGTTTACAAAGCTGGCTGCCAACCTCATACCCCAACCAGAAATCTGGAAGATCCTTCTCAAGGGAAGCTGATAAGCCCAAGAGAAAAACCCAATGGGGTGAAAGGCTGAACCTAGCCTACTCTGGCACATGTAGCTCCCCATCAGCTTTTTAGCCCTTGGCTTCCAAATATGAATATGAGACATTTCAACAAAGTCTCTAATATGGAAGAGAGAGACCAAAACAGATGAACAAAAATACGTTGGAGAAATAACGTAGGGAACAGAAGGAAACTTTTTAAAATTGTATCTTTAGATAAAATATTATATGAAATAAAAACACTTTAAGAATAAAATGTGCCTGAAACAAGAACAGGAAAATATGTAAAAAAGAAGTATTCCTTTTATAAACGAGGATAAAATAAGCTCTGGAAATTTTAAAATAGAATGGCAGAAATAAAAACTCAACAGAAGGATTAGAAAATAAAAGGTAAGGGACTCTCCCAGAAAGTACAGTAAGAAAGATTAAGGGTTAAAAAATAGGCAAAAAATTGTGAAAAATTAGAAGACTAATCCTACTGCTAGGAGGTTATAAAATGAGCAAACACTGAAAATGGAAAGAAATTATCAAAGAAATCATATTGTATAGTAAAGATTCTGGAACTAAAGTATTTGCAATTCCAGATTGAAGATACATACTGAGTACCCAAAAAATGAAGAAAAAAAAAATCCGTATCATGGTTCATCAGCCTGAAGTTTCCAAACTTCAAGAATACAGATTCCAACAACTTCTAGGGAGGGGGATAAGGTGGGAAAGAGAAAAAGAGAAACAAAACCAAAACATACAACGGATTGGGAACACAATGGCACTGGGAGGCAGTAAAGCACAGTGGTTACCATAACAGATTTTGGTCACCTAAATTTCTTGTAATTCAGCTTAATATCAAATTCAATATCCCGCCATTTAACATTTAAGGAAACCATGACATGGAGAAGTGAAATAATTTGTCCAAGGCACAAAGCTAGTAAATCACGAGACTGGGATTCAAACCCAGAGTTTTCTCCTCCTGCAAATAACAGCTACAAGCTCTGGACACAATACACAGAAACAATTCCTGAGGGCTCAGCAGACTGACAAAAGGCAGGCAGATTCTGGTGGGGATTTAAAAGTTGGAGCAGACAACAGCAGGCAGGCAGTCTCTTCCCTTCCCTCCCCCTCCCCTATTTTTTGCTTCCCAGTTTGCCCTGAGGATGGCTGTAGGCCCCAGTGGTGGCAGCAGCAGGTCAGAGGGGTCAGTGGAAGGCAGCCGAAACTAATGGAAAGCCCACCATTTTTCTGATAAGAAGAACCAGGCTGAAAGAAACTAAGGAGGAGTACCAGAAAGAGCCAGAGAAGGAAAACTCCTAATTCCATGTTTAAACTTCAACGAAGTTTCTACATGACTCCCAATCACACAGGTGCTGGGCAAAATGAGAGCAGCTTCTGACCCAAGAACTGATCAAAGAGCTGAACCACAGCCCAGTGCAGGTGTGACAATTCACAGTTTGCATCTAACCGAGTTGATTGCCTGCTTAAACAAAAACAACACTCTTTAGAGCAATCTAACAGAATCCAGTCTCTATAATGTAACATCATAATGTCCAAAACACAACCCTAAAATTACTTGACATATGCATAATCAGGGAAATGGGACATGCCAACTCCAAGATACCCAGATGCTGAAATTACCACACAAGAATTTTAAAGCGGATGTTATAACTATATATTTACCTCAGGGAAGTAGGAAAAAAAATATATACTTATAAAGAATAAAAAGATGGGAAATCTTAACTGAGAAACAGAAAGCATAAAAAAGAAACAAATCCACGCAGGTTAGCTCAAAAGCCTATACTCTCAATCTCTAAACTACCTTACCAATCTCTAGCTACCTTACTAGTGAGTATTACATATCAGGTCTTCAGCAGATGTTGGTTATTAGTTATCATCAGCCTTTTTAACAATGACACTGGAAGCCAGAAGATAATGGAGCAACGCTAAAAAATTCTGAAGGATGTCAATTTATACAGTTTCCAATTTAGAAATCTCTCACCAAATAAACTATCAATCAAGTGTGAGAGTAGAATAAATAATCTTAATCTTAAAATAATGCATAATCTTAAAAATTCATCTCCCAAGTGCTCTCTTTTGGAATCTACTAGAGTATGTGCTTCATTAAAATGAGTAAGTAAGCCAAGAAAAAAGAGGACAGGGGCTTCAACAAAGGAGAGAAGTGAAGTGAATTTCATGCTGAAAGGAAGCTTCTGGATGCCTGCTGTGCAGCAAGCTGAGAGCAATCTGTCCAGACTGAAGCAGGAGAGCAGGGGGCTCCAGGAAGGATAACTCAGAAAACACACACACACACACACACACACACACACACACACACACACACAGAACTGATACATCACTGAAAGTGTTTGTATTGAGAGTAACTTTATAGCTCTGGCAGAAAATCTGGGAATAAGTCCATGATCTATACATTTAAAAAAAAGAGGTAATGATTAATTCCAGGAAAATAAAAATTATGTAAGACAGTAAATCTGATCACATTTTACCATCTGATTTACCTGCAAACTATATTTTCACAGTAATAGGTACTACTTTGATAAGAATAAACATGTAAAAGACAAAATAATACAGCCTGGATATCAAGTACATAGGTATCTACTATACATTTTCCTTACTTGCTTTTAAATTATAAAATATTTGAAGCATCTAGGAAAGTCTAGCAAATATATAGAACATCCATGCATCTAACACCTAGCTTTAACTTAGCCATATGTGCTTCAAGTCTTTCTTGTATTTTAAAGAAATAAACCATTACAGATACAGCTGAAGTCTCCTGCGGAGATGTGTAAACTTCTCTTGATTTCATGTCCTCTGCTCTCCCCCCAGAAGTAACCGCCATCCTGAATTTGGTGTTTATTCTTCCCAGGCATGTTTTTATATTACCACATGTGATTCTTTCCATAAACAATATAGAATTATTGTGCATGTTTTCAAATTTTAAATAAATGTGCTAATCCGCATGTTTTAACATCCTTTATTTTAACTCAGTGTTGTTTTGGGGATTTATCCACATTGATGCATGTAGCTCTGCTTTGTTCATTTTAACCAATTTATACTGCCATGTGACCCTACCACACTTTACTTCTCCATCTCGTGCTTATGAACATTTAACCAGTTCCTGGGTTTCTGCTATTACAACCACGTCATATGTTTGTGTCTTTCATGCATATGTGTGAGTTTCTGTAGAAGTGGGATTGCTGGGGCATCAGCAAGGGCATCTTATTACCGAAATCCTCCCCAAACTGGTTAAATCCACTTAGATGCCCACAAATACTGCTCGCCCAAGGTTTTGAGCCTTGCCAATCCATACAATTACACAACACTTTTTTCCGAAGAAAGTTCGGAAAAAAGGAAACTTTTACTGTATGTTTGAAATGCACAATCCTACAACCCTAATCCATCTCCTGTCATTTTATATTCCCTTCCATTCCTTTTTCCACTTTCTTTACTTTTTCAGAATCTTGACCACCTGCTTTCTAAGAGGCCAGGACAGACCCCAGCATCTCTCACCTCGCTATCCATTCGGCGGTGCCCTCAAAGAGATCTGGGGTGATGATGTTGGTCAGAGAAGCCACGGAAGCAGCACAGTATGCACTTCTGTTAGGATGGAAACACACAGGGACAACGTGAGGCTTTAAGAAAGGGATGAAATAAGGTTCACGGAGCTTCTCAGGCGGGTTGCCCTCTGCTTGGTAAACTGTAACCACCTCCTGTCCTCACTCTTGGCACACGGTCAGTCCTCCTGGGTCTCCAACTGAGAGGTGTGACATTCTATTTGGATAGGGCTGCTCACAGCATGGCTTCAGCGAAAGAACATGACATTCTAGTCTCCCTACCTCCACATGGTCAAATCTACATCAGAGGAAATAGTAGCCAAAGTGAATTTAGCTCTTTCAAAGACCTCCAATGGTTCCCAAACTTCCACGGTGTCATTCAAGTATTTCTGATACGCTCATTTATTGAGATGTCTGTCATGTTTTAGATCCAGGATTTCTGTTTATAGCATGGACACATTAAAGGTTAACTATATATTTTTTCTGCAACAGACACTCCAAAGCAGGGCACCAAACCCTAATGGCCAGAAACAGATGAGTCCACTCAGATACTTTCCTTAGGCCTTTAAAGGGAGAGAAGCGCTTTGATTTCAAGCAGTACAGACACCAGTACAGACACACACACACACATTTTTAAATGAAAAAGAAAGAGGGGCGCCTGGGTGGCTCCGTTGGTTAAGCGTCCAACTTCGGCTCAGGCCATGATCTCACGGTTCGTGAGTTCGAGCCCCGCATCAGGCTCTGTGCTGACAGCTCGGAGCCTGGAGCTGCTTCAGATTCTGTGTCTCCCTCTCTCTCTCTCTGCCCCTCCCCTGCTCACGGTCTGTCTCTCTCTGTCTCTCAATAATAAATAAATGTTAAAAATCTTAAAAAGAAAAAGAAAGAGAACGTCTTTTTTTTTTTTTTTTTAAATGTTATCCTACTTGATTTGGAATAATTCTTGCCACTCTGCCCTGCCAGCCCTAATTCTTCCCAGGACACATCTTATTTCAGCTTCTCCCTCTACTATCGAATATAGCTACAAACTGTCTTTTCTTCCCTTCTATGCCCTTTTCCAATGTCCAGCATCTCAGCTCCATTTTACACTGAAGACAACTGTTTGTTTTAATTCTGCATACAGATCCTGTTTCTAAGGGCTCCTAAGGAATACAAAAGGAAGGAAAGAGAAGGGTCTAATGTCCGTTATTGTTCAATATGGACACGCTCCTAAGCCGAACTTACAGAGGTATTCCAAAAAGAAATCTCTGCAGAAGCTGCAAGCCCTATTGTGCGACTAGCATCTTTATCAGCCCGCTCATGCTGGCCACAGCACAGCAGAGGCTGAGTTACCCCGGCAGGCCTCAGAAGCACACCAGAGTCCCCCATGCCAAACGTTCTCATCTGCCATAAGCTAACTTCAGAGGCCTGAGCTAATTTCTTTCAGCGTTTCAGCCTCTCAGAGGGGTTTCACAGCATTTGCTCCTGACCCCTAACGGAACCTCTGAGGTAGGGAGGTGGCCAACAAAGTAGTTTCCTTCTCACAAAGGGAAGAACTGAGATGTGAAGCCAGCAGCCACAAGTCCCCCACTGAAAAGGGGAGGGAACAAACACACCTTTTTCATGCAGTTTCTTCCTCTCTCCACCCACCTGCTCATCACATCTCTCAAATTTGTCCACTCCTCTCCATATGCTCTGCTGTCCCCCAAATCCAGTCACCATTACCTGGGTCAATCTCCTGCCTGGTCTTTCTCCATCCAGCCCTGAAACCGGAGGACTTTTACTAAAACACCACAATCTCTTCACTGCAACTGGAGAAGTTGTCATAAAATACAAAACCAGATCAAGTCACTCCCTACTTAAACCTAGTCCATGGCTTTCCACTGCTCTTAAAATAAACTCCCTAGCTCTTAAGGAGATCCCAGGACCCCTCAGTCTGGTCCCAGCCTGTTCTTCCAGCCTCACTTCTACTGCCCCCCATGCCTTCTGTACTTCAGCAACACTAAACTGCTTTCTCGAACACACTCTTGAACACACTCCCTGTCACCTCAACTTCTGCAAATGCTGGGTCCCTGTCTCCCTACTATCCTCAAAGAATGTTCCAAGTTATAAAACCTGGATTAGGAGGGCAGTAATAATTACTCCTTTCTTAAGAACCGGGAAAAAATCGTACTTGCTAGGAGTTCACTACAATCTGATTATCGGCAGCCCTCCAGTGCCATAGACACTTGAATAAGCTCATCCCAGACACTATTAGGAGCTGTGACAGACAGGAAAGATCAAGAGACTCCTCTGTCTAAGCCAGGATAAGACATGCTAGCCTCCAGATGCCCATCACTGCTGCTTCTCTCCAAGTCAAACCCAGTCAACAAGCACTCTGGAGTCCTGGCTGACACTTTTAGGCAAAGGACAATTAAATAACAAGCAAGAAATGATGGGAATTGGGGTACTGGGAACCAAGCAAAGCACAGAAGCGTTCACATCTCTGAGTCTACACAAGTGGAGAGCATGGCTGGAATAGAGCATATTACTGGAAGAGCGTAGGTACAGGGTTCCTTGATGGCACAGATCGATTCTAGTGGAGAAGTTTCTGAGCATTTGTCTAGCAGATATAAATAAGAACACAGAAAAAACTGAAGCTAGAACAACGAAATTAGAAAATAATTGTATCTGAAAAGGTATGTGATATAATGCCAAAGCAATCTTGCTTTTGTCTAATAATTTCAGAAATTTTAAAAAAGCTAAATTTCGAGACTGTGCACACTCAGTTGTACCATCTGTAGAACAGAAATGAAAATGTAGTGTCTTTTGGTTGCAGGGGTGAGACAACTTTTAGCTTTTTCCTTAAGGAAGAGTCAATTAAGGGGTGCCTGGGTGGCTCAGTTGGCTGAGCATCTGACTTTGGCTCAGGTCATGATCTCACGGTTCGTGGGTTCGACACCTGTGTCAGGCTCTGTGCTGACAGCTGGGAGCCTGAGGCCTGCTTCCAAGTCTGTGTCTCCTCTCTCTCTCTCTGCCCCTTCCCTGCTCACACTGTCTCTCTCTCTCTCTCAAAAATAAAATAAACATTAAAAAAATTTTAAAAAAGAGTCAACTGAATACTGTTTTTCTTCATTAGTTATATTGGCTTTGTTGGCATTTTCAGGGTTTAAAAACACAAGACAACAGGTCCCAAAGGGAGTCACTTATGCTGAACTCCACATCTTAATCAGTTTCAGTTCCCCAGAAATGAAATCTTAAACCAGCCAATCAGGAATCACCTGATGAGCACTACTTAGGTCACTGGCCTGACAGAACCCTGCTGCCTCCTAAAGAAAAGTAACCTTGCAATAACTGGCCCACTTTTTTTGCCTAATATAACTTCCTTTTCCCACTCCTTTCTGCCTATAAAAATCTCTCATTTTGTATAGGTCCGCAGAGTACATTTCTATCTGCTAGATTACATGCTGCCTGATTAGAATAGATTTTTGCTCAAACTCTTACATTTAAAAAAAATATGCTTCAGTTTGTGTTTACAACAGATATTGGGATATTATGATATAATAAGAAACATACACAGTAAAACCTTGGATTGCGAGTAACTTCTTCTGCGAGTGTTCCCGCAAGACGAGCAAACATGTCTACTAAATTTTAACTTGATAAACGAGGGATGTCTTGCAATACAAGTAGTACGTGACGCCAGATGTCACAGGATCACAACTGAGCCAATGGTTCTTGAAATTCGCTTTGACATACAAATGCTTTGGATTACAAGCATGTTTCTGGAATGAATTATGCTCTCAAACCAAGGTTTTACTATACTGGTTTTCTCCCAGATTCCTGGAACAAAGCTCCTAAAACCCTTGGAATTTCCTGAGTGACAGGGGTGATAGGAGAGTCTTCAGTTATTCATAATAACTGCATCTGGGTGGCTCAGTTGGCTGAGCATCTGACTTTGGCTCAGGTCATGACCTCACGGTTTGTGGGTTCGAGCCCCGCGTCGGGCTCTGTGCCTGGTCAAGCACACCTGAGTTATGCTAATGAGGTGATTCCTGGAGGATGGACTGCATGCCAAAGTAACTGACCACATCATCAGAGGGTTGGAACTTTCAGCATCATCGCCCCCGACGAGAGGGGCTGCAGATTGAGTTAATCACCAATGGCCAATGATTTCATCAATCATGTCTACACAATGAAACTCCCATAAAAACCGTAAATGCAGGTATTTGGGGAAGCTTCCAGGTTGGTGAATGCATCCATGTACCTGCCAGGAGGGTGGCATACCCCAGCCTCACGGGTACAGAAGTTCCTGCGCTTTGGACCCTTCTCGACCTTGCCCTATATACCTCTTCAACTGGCTGTTCGTTTGTATCCTCTATAATATCCTTTGTAATAAACCAGTAAGTAAAGTGCTTCCTTGCATACTGTGAGCCATCCTAGCAAATTATTGAACCTGAAGAGGGGGTCATGGGAACCTCTGATTTGCAGCTAAGTCAGACAGAAGTGTGGGTAACCTGGGGACACACTACTTGTGACTGGCATTTGAAGTGGGGGTGATATTGTGGGACTGAGCCCTTAACCTGTGGAATTTGAGTTAAATCTAGTTAGTTCATGTTAGAATTATTTAACATGAGGGAAAAAGCACCTGTTTGGTGTTGGAAGTGTTGTAAGAAACAGTTTTTCCAGTGAAGAACTTATTTTAGGTTCAAATAGACACATTACATGTTTTTTTCTCCCCCTTTACTTTCGAACCAATGGTTAACCCAGAAAATTAATCAACTTGTGTAGAAGCTAAACACATTTACAAATAAGGCAATAAGATGGCTTTGCTATAGAAAGCTCAAAAACACATATTTCTCTAAGGATTTGGTATAAAACCTCAGTGATCCACCGCCTTTGAGAAATGACTCAGTGAATTTCATATATGCTTCACCAATCTCCCACCAGATGAGTGAGCTTCTTGTGGGGTATGTTGGACAATTCTAGAGTAAAATAATAATTTTGGGCCAACCGGTTCCAATCAGTTACTGAAACTCTGTTTCGCTGCACTCTACTGGCCCCCCAAAATTTTTGCACCTCCCAAAGCAATTCTCATTCAGGTGATAAACATTCTCCCGAGTTCATCAAATTCATTCAGAAAATATTTACTAAGTTCCTACTGGGCTTCCTTCTCCCTTCCTATCCCAGAGAGGTGAAAGATTGTATTACACTATACCGTTATTATATATTATGTATGGTATGTCATTTTATACCAACCAAATATGTTTTTGATTTTTAAAATAAAAGCATTTGATTTTGTTCCTGTCTTGCTTATATTCTGACACTTACATAAAAGAGGTCAAGTGACAGTGACACCTGAGGACATCTGTGTCATGTTTGCAATGATTATGAGCTGTGTCACTGACACGCCATTCTACGTCATTCTGTGAGACAAAGCAGCAGCTTTTCCATGTTGTTCCTTGGGTTTGGCATCTCTAATGACAGAGAAGATCTAGAATCTACTGACACAGTGGCCTGAGGAAAACCCCACTCACCTCACATCCACCTCACCTCCAACGTGCATGAGAAAAGAGCCATCAGGTTGCTTCAACGAGTACAAATACTGAAGAAGCTTCTCTCTGAGACACAAATAGGGGAGAGGGAGGAGACAGCAATGGTCAGTGCAGCAGCAGCAGGCGGGGACCCTTTGGGGGTCCGGCACTGCTGGCTTTGGCTGTACCTGTTAATGACGTCATAGGCTTCCTCGGTGCCAATGATGCATAGTGCATTGACTGCTGCATACGTGGGTGCAAGGTGTGGGTACTGGCCAGGGCCCCCTCCAAAGCCACCTTCTGGACTTTGACACAGCTCCAGGAACTGACACACGCTAGGTATACAGCCAAAGGGAAAAACAAAGTCAGAGAACATTCATTTCAAAACACCAGACTCCACCAGAGTCTATGCCTTTTCCAATGTCCCCCCCTTCCCTCAAAAGGGAAAAAAAAACCTCTCCTCCCACTTCCTGAACACATATTGAATATAATTAACCTTTGAAAAGGGCCTCTCTGCCCTATTTTGAATGCCCATCTTTCTGAGTTTTGTGTTTAAGCACCTGTCTAACCATAAAGCAAGGGATGTAAGTCAAGCAGAAACAAATAGACTTTCATGGGATTGGGATTAAGTCTCATACTTCTTGACCAAATTCTTCCCATACTTTTCACTCAGTTTACCACCCTGGATCTGTGGAACCAGCCCCTTCTCCTTGCCTTTGGGGTCTCCCCCAGGCTTTGAATTTTGCCCAAACTATGGTGGTGCCCAACTACTTCTTTCTATGCTAACCATTCTGGTCTAGAGACACCACCAAGGCTTACCCAGAATATTTAAAGAGATGTCTTCTCACTCCCATTGCCCCTAAGCCCCAGGGGCTTCTGACTTTTCTTCCTACCGCCACCAAGAAACCAGCTTTTCATGGATTCTGCCCCCACGGTTAGGAGAGCGAAACAGAAGTGGGCTTCTGTCACGCTCATGCCAAATGTGGCAAACTGCGGCACTGCTGACTCATATGGTAAAAATGCATCCTGGCCTGTAGGCTTTTGGGGAATTTTTCACACTAATCTACAGAAGCTCCAGTTTCCTCACTGAGGGAAACTGTTTATTGAGGGTTTGCTTCCAAGCATGGCATCAGGTTGCCCAGAAGTTACATTTTTGCCTTAGGTCAAACCAAGGGAGCCCCTATTTATCCGAGGTCCTCTGAAGTTCACCAGGAAGGGGTGCCCCAGGAAAGCCCTGGTCATCACGCTCTCTCCCCACAGCTCAGCTGGGCTCACTGGCTTCCTGTTAGGACAAGCCTCCATTTAAGAGAACACGTTGGAAATCTGTGCCCTAGTGCTCAGGCAGCCTTCTTTTCTTGGACTCCGTCATCTTATTCTTTCTCATCTACTGCAGTCAGAGGGGCCAAACAGTCTAGTGAATCTCCACTAGGACACAAGTTTACTATTGCTTTTCCACATCATATCTGATTACTTGATTTCAGACCTTCCATTATCTGGCAGCGACGGCAATAAAAAATGCTGCTGACTCGCTGCTGGGGTCCTGAAGCTTTCCCGGGTCTCAAAAACAATACTCATTCCCTTGTACCTGCACCTGCAATTTTACTACAGGAAACACAAGGACTGAAGCTGAAGTTGATCATCAGAGAAGAAAGACAGTTCTGTGGCCTATTTGCAACAGCAATTAATTTTCATGGAGAAAATTAATTTGTCCCTAACATATTTTCCAAACCTTCATCAATTCATATCCTGTTTCCTGGAAACAAATAGCTAATGAACTCATGTCCTGACAAAGGCTAGCTGCGCTAGCGTGCAGAAAGTTCTCTGTATCACAAAAACAAAAGGTTTTAGTTGATATAAAACTTAAGAGCACATTTAAAAAAATGAAAAGGATAAGAGTCACCTAGTTACCCATTCTCTTTCCCAGTTCCTAAGATAGAATCCTGCCAAATGCAACATCCCAGACCCTGTAGCCTAAGGTCTGATGAACTGGGATCTGAATGTACCAGACACCTTTAAATCATTCCTCGATGCCAACCTTCCTCAGCTGATATGTGGCATCTGACTGGCCGTGGGGCTACGCTGGGGAGCAGGGCTGGGCTTTTCTGGACTCTGAGACGCTTCCATATTACAGAACATTCTGCTCCAGAGGCTTTCCAACTAACACCTTAAGGAACTGGCAAACTGACCATGAAGCTGCCAGCTGTCATTAGCAGAGTTCTCAGCAACTCTGAAAACCAAAATGTGAATGAGACTTCTACTATCAAAAGGGGAAGGAAAAACTTATCTTAGAGACCAGAAATTCACCAACTAGTAAAAAAAAAAAAAAAATTCACAAGCAGGAGACATGGTGCAAACACGAAGAGCAGTCGACTTTGTAAAGAGCATGCGTTATGCAGTATTTTGTCACACGACTAAAAGATCTAGCAGATCTGTGTTCTTTCAAGTCAGCAAGGCATTTTGTTCTAGCAAAGCGGGAAACTATCTTTTATATTAGGGATTTCCAAACCCAAAATGTGTGCATCACAAACATGGGAGAGCTAATAGAGAAAAGAGAGGCCCAGGCTTCTTGAAGCAGGAACAAGCCTGGGCCTCTGTATTTTCACCAAATTCCCAGATGACATGTGTACACACAAAGTTTGAGAACCACAAGTCTTGGCTGAGCAATTAGAATCACTTGGGGGATGTTTTTTAAAACCCAATGCCCAGGTCACACCCAATACCAATGAAATCAGGATCACTGAGGGTGAGACCCAAGTGGCCACAGTTTTTTTTTTTAATTCCCATGTGACTCCAATGTACAGCCAAGTATCAGTGCCTCTCAAACTTGAGTGCACATGGAAATCACCTGAGAAGCTGCTGAACTGCAGTTCTGGCTCAGAAGGGCTGGATGGGCTAGAAAGTCAGTACTTTCAGCAAGCCCCAGTTGATGGCAATGCCACTGGTGTGAGGAATCACATTTTTGGTAGCAATGTGAAAGGTCTGTGCTGTCCAATAGGTAGTGACGAGCCACGTGAGGCTATTTAAATTTTAAATTTAATTACGTTTAAGAACTGATTTAATGTTTAGCTCCTCAGTCATACAAGCCACATTGCAACTGTTCAATAGCTACACGTCCCTAGTGGCTACCACAGAATAGAGGACATTTCCATTGTTGTGGAAAGTTCTCCTGAACGCCAACACTCTATCATTCAACTATTAAAAAGTATGTAAAACCTGTAAGAAGATCAAGTTCAAAGCAAGAGTATCAATGATTTACTTCTACGGAGTTACTCGGACTTTCAGGTGATGGCTGAAGATTATGGGCATTGCTGTCACCAACTTGAATGAAGTACTCAAAACGTGTACAGAGAACAAGCAAAGTAATACAAAAGGAGCAGAGAAACACCGCCAAGGTGAGAATTAAAGTCTGGAATAATAGAAGACAAATCAGAAGCACATAAGAATACAACAAATGAAACAAGTACAAGCAATAAATAACATACTCAGGGATGGCAGGAGTGGGGAGGAGTACAGCATATCAATATACAACGGGAAAGGACTAGGAATACAGGAGAAAGAGGACCAGAGATTAGGACCCATGAGTTGTGGACAAAAACGACAACACTTAAGAGCCTCATAAACGCAGCGCTGGTCACAACTGTATTTGGCTCAAACCCCCATTTTCCAACTAAAAGGAGGTTCAGGTTAGAATTATAAAAACACAGGTGCCTCGGTGGTTCAGTTGGTTAAGCATCCGACTCTTGATTTTGGCTCAGGTTCATGATCTCACGGTTCGTGAGTTTGAGCCTGCATCAGGCTCTGCACGGTCAGCGCTCAGCCTGCTGGCATCCTCTCTCTCCCTCTCTCTGCCCCTCCCCCACTTGCTTGCATGTGCTCTCTCTCAAAATAAATAAATAAACTTAAAAAAATAATAACTGTAAAAATGGCCAAATATTAAAAGGCTTAATATTACAGGCAACCACCACCATGAGGAAGCTACCCAGCAAAATACCTCAGGTATACAGGAGCGCCTGGGTGACTCAGTTGGTTGAGCATCTGACTTCGGCTTAGGTCATGATCTCAAGTCTTGTGGATTCAAGCCCCACATCGGGCTCTCCGCTGACAGCTCAGAGCCTGGAGCCCGCTTTGGATTCTGAGTCTGCCCCTCCCCCACTCACACTGTGTGTATCACTCTCTCTCTCAAAAATAAATACTAAAAAAATTTTTTTTAAGTTTAAAAAAATACCTCAGGTATACAAAGGGTAGGTACACAAACTTTCTGGTAGAGAAACAAACACTGAAGCTAGTTTGCAGCAGCAGAATTTAGAGAAGATTTAAGAAAACCTTCAGCACGACAGTAAGTTACCATGGACAGACTGAAGGCCGAGAACAAGTTAGAAAGATCACAGCTTTGGGAAAGGAATGGTCATCCTTGAGCAGGACGGCCTGCGGAGAGATGCCAATAGAAGATGGATGCATGGACATCCAGCTTCCTCTAGTACTAAGGCTTTTGAATTTCATACCATAAAACAACTCCAGCTTAGTACAAGGGAGAGAAGAGCTCCCTCCCTAGCAGAGCACAGCAGTGAGCAGGTGGAAATGACAGGCTCCTCACTGATTCCAGGAGGCGGGAGCCGCCCATGGAGTCTGACACATTGTCTGACTCCATCAAGCACAGTCATCCTCTGGAAGCTGCTGTTCTGGAGGTAAGGTCAAGTCTAAAATTGGTCATTGTAGAGCAGAGTTTCTCCACCTTGGCACTCTGATATTTTGGACTGTGTGGTTGTTCGTTGTGGGAACTGTCCTGTGGAGGAAATCTGGGAGCACCCCTGCCCTCCTCTACCTACTCGACACCAGGAGCACCTGGCCAAAAAAAGCCCAGAACGCAGAGGACGAGGTAAGGTATCTTCACAGAAAGGTAAGGCAACAAATTACATTTAAAAATTAAAAGGAGGGGCGCCTGGGTGGCGCAGTCGGTTAAGCGTCTGACTTCAGCCAGGTCATGATCTCGCGGTCCGTGAGTTCGAGCCCCGCATCGGGCTCTGGGCTGATGGCTCAGAGCCTGGAGCCTGTTTCCGATTCTGTGTCTCCCTCTCTCTCTGCCCCTCCCCCGTTCATGCTCTGTCTCTCTCTGTCCCAAAAATAAATAAACGTTGAAAAAAAAATTTTTAAATTAAAAGGAAAAATATTTGAAGAGCTATTCAGGGGATCAGCTACGAATAACTTTTTGAAGGGGAAATAGCAAAACAGTGACACACGAAAATTTAAACTAATGAACATTTGGAAAAACTTTATAAGCAGAAAAGTCTTAAAACAATGAAGTTAAAGACAATTTTTAGATCTTACAGAAGCTAGAAAACTAACTTCAACAATGCAGCGGTCTCCCTGTGATTTCACTTTACTCTGTGTGTTATGTTACGGTACTTTTCAATAACGAAGCATGGGATTCTCATTAAAGGACGCTTCCTTCCTTCCGTTAAAATCATTAACAAATGTACTTAGTTTGGTACCAAAATATCAATTTATTTCAGGTAAACATACATATCAATTTGTGGATACAACCTCTTAGAGAGGCAAGCTACGTTCCTACCTATGAATATGTTGTTTTTGAAAGATCTGAGACCAGCAGTAAAAACCTGGTCTTGCTGGCTTCTCTTAACAGTCACAGTAGCTGAGAAAGTGATTTTGTCCACTAGAGGGAACTCAGCTTGCCATCTTGTTCCCTAAACAGAAGCGCAAAGGTGAACGAAATAGGAGAGAGAAATGTGTGTGTATGTGCGTGTCACCTGCACTAAGTGGCAGAGTGGGGAAAGAAAAGGGCAGGAAAATAATAAAACTCCAGAGCTAAACTCTGCACCTTAATAGTTATATGAAGAAGAAGGGGACAGAAAGCTGACCATATTTTCAAAGCATTTCCTTTCTCTGTGCAAAATACATCCGATATCAGAGAGTCTTTTAAAAATCCCAGCATTTTTACAGAAATCATTAAGATTTCTCCTATCTTACTAAAAATAGTTCATTTCCTTATAGGTCAGAGCTACTAGGCTCTGTTCATAACAGATATTATCTGGACCTAGACTGAACTGTCTGCTAGGCATGAAACAAAATACATTGTTGTTGGAAAGCCTAAGTAATTCTTTAAAAGTCTGTTAAATCAGAAGAACCACACGTAAAGATTTTAAGGCAGCTGTGAAAGCAGAAATTCTTAAGTCATTCACTACCAACTGGTTCGTGAAATTAGAACAAAGTAGCTTTTTAGTTTTAAAACATTCTTTTAAGTACGAAAACAATAAATAAAGTTTTAGAACATGGAAATAGGCTTAGGAAAAAAAACAGAAGAAAATTCACCTTTAACTTCACCATCTAGAAATAACTATTGCCAAGTGTGTATATACCTTTCTGGTTTTCTCTATGCATATAACTAGCCATATATACATATACGCATACATATATATGGTTGGTTATATATTATATATTATATACATGTATTATATATATTATATATTTTATATATTATATATTTATATATTA